ACTGATGGTCATCAGCATACATCCCAATTTTTGAAGGAATTCCGAACGTCAAGTTGTTTCACATAAGACGGTAGTTCTACCAGTCACTCTGATTTAGTGATCTATTAAATTTTTCTTTGGCCAATTTCATTCAACCATTCCTCTCCAAATTTCCAGAGTGATAAACTTTAATTCTTCTAAAGATTGTCGATTGAAATATCTCATTCACTGCGATTGGTCATCTCACACCTACTTGTATAACATCTCCTGGCACCAGTAGACATTGTCCACATCATCAAAAACTTATGAAGCATGAAAAGGAACTTTACTCAGATCTTTCTGAAAATAACAGTAAGGAAGAATGCATGTGCTGATGCTTACTTAGTAATTGCTTTTCCAAATTTACTAAAGCTTGTTTTCTTTTCTTCATCATGATTCTGGTAGTTGATGTTTCCCTGTTCTCTGGAGGTTTCCTTCAATAGTATGAAACAAAATGCAATCATATTTACATGAACATGGGTATAACATAACAGGAGTCATATAACTGTCAACTGAGTTTGGGTATTACAAGACCTTGAAAGGCTCAAGTCGATAATGACAGAGGAGTTCTCCAAGCCTTTCTGGGAGTGCACAGAAGTGACTGACTTTTTTTTCCTCTAATACTAGCATAGTGTCATATCTTTAAGCAGGAATTCCCAATGAGAATTAAATCATCATGATATGCATGACTGTATGTTGAATATGACTGTTTATGAAAATGAAAACAATCTTTGCAGTAATAAACACCCTTAAAGCAGTTGTTAAAATAAGGCTTGAACCCATGACCTCTGCAATACCACTGCCATGCTCTACCAATTGAGCTGACATGCTAACTGGTTGCTGGGTGTTATGTTACTTTGTAGTAAACCCAGATTAAGAAATGAATATGAAAGTGATCTTCCCAGTAATGAACACTACCTAAGCAGTAGTGAAAACAGATTATTAATATAGACTTCAGGCCCTTGTTACATCTGAAGAAAATAACCACTAGCTTGTAGTAACTAAAAGAATACTTATTTCTCCATTCTACATAGAGACATCTCTAATGACTGGCAAAAAACGGCACAACTTCATCCTTCTGAAAAAGGTCTTTTAGGTTGAAGAGAGTAAACAAGGATAGGCTTGAGCAAACAACAGTGTACCTTCAAAGTCAGAAAAGGCAAGCTTCAAAGTAAATCTTAAATTCTTGGAAAAGACTAATTTCTTAGATTGACACATATTCATCTTTCTTCCTCTTGATATCTGAAAAATGTTGTTAAATTAACTTTCTGTAGTTTTTAGATTTACTACAATCTTGGCTGAAACATGGCTTAAATTTAAGCAATCACAAATTAAACACTCATTTTAGAGCACTCACTATCTAGTGACCTTAAGATTGTCAACCTATGGGAGTTCTGAGGATGACCATCTATGTATGAAATTTTATAAAAAAAAAAAAGGATCTAGATGAAGTAATTAAAAGAACCAATTGTACATGTAAAAAATATGATGTACCTTAACTTGTGAATACTTGTTTCCTTCACATTCTGTTGCAGCTGTAAGGAAAAGTAATTTTATTAGTATACAAATGGTAAAATTTGATAAAAAACACCTTTTACCACTGTCTTATAATCACATGCACAATAAAAAGCAAATGTACACATATCCACACAGTTAACTTACAAAATCTAGTAGTTTTATCACGAATTTACCTTCACTTAACTGAAAACAATATTACCTAAGTTAGGTTCACTTGAGCTTTTAGGACCTCTTAACTTCATCAGTCCTTTGCCAAATGATGCCCTAATTCCATGCCTTTTCCTATTTGCAGGACTAGCTGGAGGTGTTTCTGTCTTTAGTGCTCTTAAGCTAGGTGTCACTGGATTGTTTACAGCTTGGGTGTATGATTCTGGAACAAAACAAATTAAAATTATAATATAATCTGAATTCATGATATTGTCATGTGCTTAACCAGCTACTGTTTGCAAATAGAGTAACAAAAGAGAAAACTTTTTTTTTTCTAAATAATAACATAGAAACAAATGTATAATGATTAACAATAGAATAATGAGAAGTTGGTCTCTGAGATGATTGACATAATTTGAATGTGGACCTACATCTCCTTCAATAACATGTACAATAATTATCACTGTGCAACAAAATACTTCTATGTACACTTTTAAGTTCTAACTTATCTTTGAATTGACAAACCTAGTAAAAAAAAAAAAATGAAATTGAATGTAATGGGTGTGTGGACTACTAATCCATATCAGTAAGTACACTGTATAATAAAATAACCTGTGAACAATGCTCGACTCTGTCTTGGAGTGGTAACATATGGCTCTGGACTGCTGGTACTGCTGGTTGTTGTTACCATGTCAGCACTTTGTATGCTACTGCTGTCAATACCATCCAATGAAACAACTGGACTACTATCCAACTCCTTTGATTGATTTGCTTTCATCAGCATTTCTTCAATCTACCACCCAAATAACCATTTCATTGTTGTTGTTCAGGCATTGACAATATTCATCTTCAATTTGAAATTCGTTACAATGAAAATGAGAAATATAATGACTCATCCAACAAGCAATCTTCACTCTTTGAGTTTCACTGCCTCACAATCCAAATCAGGATAGAAAAAGACTCCACTTTTCAAAGTTTCATAATAGCATAAAGGCATACTGATTTTATAACAAAGTTTCTAGTATTTCATTTGATTGGCTCTTGCATGTACACTTTACCTTATATCTGTCTACTGTACTTACTTACATAACAACCTGTCTTAATTGATAAGTAAACTAATTTGTGAGGTGAATAGGAGCTGAGCATGTACAGTGGTCTTGCAATGTACTCAGAGAACAACTCCTGTCTAACTAACCATACAGTACTGCTCACATTTACTGCAGCACTGCACAGTCCCATGTCAAGCATGTGTAATGCACAGTACATGTGAGTGGTATTGTAATTCTTTTTTCATCTTTCATGCAAACCCTTTCCTTCGAACAATGGTGCAGTTTCTAACAAGACAGTAAGATGTCAATTGAGGGACACACTACAGCTGTTAATGATTTGAACCAGGAAATTAACAGTTGATAAAATTGTCTCTTCTCACTTCTTACCCTATGGAACTAACTGCAGTGATTTTAAAAACTGCCTTACAAAGCTGTAAAATCCTGGTACAGACTATTCTAGACAGATGTCATAGACTATAGACTTAAAACACTCAAATGGCATTAAATGGACTCCTTACTTGACTTTGATGATGACTCATACTCAGGTTGTGTAAAGGTCAGTCACCACTAGAAACAATCCCAACACTTGACAAACTATCAAAATGTGTCTGCAACTGTATTATTTCGTAGAATAGTTTGTGATTTAAACAGGCACTTACTCTCTTGAATTTCACAAGAGTTTGCTGAAGTTCTTGAAATTCTTTATCCTTTTCCTTACAGGCAACTGTTAAGGTTTCAACTTCCATTTTCAGGTGGTTTACCTCAGAAGCTGTGATGATTCAAGATAATTATTTAATTGATGATAATAACCATTATGATAATTTTATGGATTATAAAGATGATGATAATGAAGTAAGGCCTAAGTACTACACAGGTTAGAGGTTTTGCACATGGGTAAAAATTATCCTAACAATGTTTTTTTCTCTGTTTGAGACCCCAACCCTCACCATCTACTGATTATAATTAGAGACCAGCCTGTCTTCCTCCATTATTTACGAGTTTTAAACATGACAGCCTAAAGGCCATTCAGCAAGAAATTACATATGATTGTTAGCATCTGTTCCCCTTGCATTTACTTTATATCAATCTTTCATGGTACTGAAAACAAGGTGAACTTAGATTTCATTTCAGCTCATGACAAGTCTTTAACTGTTGTGCCTTATCAAAGTCATCAGCACTTCAGAAACTTGTAGCAGGTGAAAGTGCTGACAGCCTGGAGAATCTTGAAGTGTTTCCCAATTTACCCCAGTTTTGGTTCTGTTTCCAGTTTCCTTTCTGCTGCAGCAATTCTGGTTTTCCATATGCCCATTTTTTTGTGGTGTACATGAGAAACCATTCAGAGAAACATAGTTTCCATGACTTAAAAAAAAGTTTCTGGAGAAGGTAAATAAGCTTATTTATGGCTTACCATTAATTAACTTAATACCTACCTTTTTCTCTGAGCTGAGATTTAAGTGCAGAGGCTGGTTGACCTGAGGAAAGATTAGTTTGAAAGAACACTTTGAATTTGTGCCCCTAAAATTCTCCAAATATATGGACATATATTTCTGTTATCAAAAAATTTGATACAGCAGAACTTATACACAAAGTAAGGTTTTAAGAAAGGTCTACCAATTTAGCTCTGTGTATGTGCATAACAACACTTGCTTGATTTTATCATGGAAGGGTCATTCAAGGGCACCCTGCTGGTATCAAGTTTCCCTCATGATTTACAATACTGCAGTGTGTTACTGATTTGACAAATTCTTTCATCAGACCAGTAGCAATTTCAATAAAGTTTCTGAAAAAATAATGGATGTTGCAAACCCTATTGGAAAAAAAAAATTAATGTTAATTGAGTACTTTTAAGTAATATCTTTTTGTTGCTATTGATGCAGCGATCACAACAGTGAACTTAACATAATTCATGAAATTTGAGCTTGGATCAGAAGTCACTGGTTGCTTGATAACTTTCTTTGCAACCCATACAGTTCCAGCAGCCATTCCAGTCAATGTAGCTGAGGCTCACAAGCTTACTATCAGACACTTTTGGTAAACAGGCCTGTAGGGGGTGGGCCTCCAAGAGGCAATCTGCGGTTGTGTGTTTCGCTGCATTTCACGTTGCTGTGCTTGAGGCTGTGGTTTATTAATGAGAGCCACCAACTCTTTCCTTTTATAGTACAGTCCAGCTAGTGAGAAAACTGCACTTGCTACTGAAAGAATTTGAATGCGTGAGAGTGATGATGATGTTTCTGGTTGTAATCCTACACCTGTGGTTCTTGCCTCTTTAAGGCTTTGATCCTTCCAATCTTCAGGTTGTTTTGAACCTCTTTTCTTCTTCTTTCCCTCTCTTACTCTTCTGTTGTATTCAGCAAGTTTTTGCCAGCTGCGACATGCCCTGCAACTTTATTTGGTTTCATCTTGTTTTTATTAGTTGAAGTCACCTGTTGAGCCTCTGTGAGTTCTGGCCAAAGGCTAGTTGGTGCTTCTTTAGTCTTGGGTTCTTTGCCATTCATTCTATTTGTTGATGTATAATTTTAAAGTTCTCATTCAAGTTCTTATTCAAGTACTTATTTAAATACTTATTCAAGTACTTACACAAGTTCTTAGACAAGTTCTTAGACAAGTACTTTATAAGAACATATTCAGTTTCTCCACAAATACTATCCTTTCCCTTATCATTAACCAAGGGTAGTTCAACGTTTTTGACAGCAAGAAGAACAGCACTTGCGATTGTCATGTACCTTCCAAACTTAAGACTCAATCCTCTCACAATCATTCTGAGTTCTCTCTTTAGCATAAAGTTGTCATTCGAGTCCTTCAGAAGTTTCCCTTCATCAACAAGGAAAAAATGAGCCAATGCTGAACATGAGAACTGAACAAATGTATCACCATTGCATCATGAATCTTTGAAGACAATGAAGCTTCAAATCTCTTGAAGTACTTCTCAACATCTTGTTCAGAAAGCTTCTTGACTTGATCCTGGGTGAGAGATACACCAATCATTTCCTTCACTTTTCCACTTGCAATAACAACAGTGAGCTGGTCACAATGTTCAGAACCGCTTCCTGGTTCAGCTGTTAGAATGTTCAGAACATTATTAACAGCATCTTTTTCCATGTCAATCATCTCCATTTTAGTTAAGAAATAAAAATATTTTCATGAAAGTTCAAGATCAATGCAATAAGGATAGCGACATGTGAATATGAGATGTGAATACTTCTTACTCTTGAGCTTTGTGATCAATTCCTTCTGCTCATCTTTCATCAACTCAGCCGCATAATCCCTGAAAATGATCTTCATATCCTTGACTTCCCTGTGAAATGGCAGTGGTCCCTCACTTTGTCTGCCTTTGGCTGGGCAGCAGAGCAGTCCTTGTCAAATGAACCTTTGCAAATCCAGCTTTGCTTTGCTTTTTTGAACTTTAGCCCATCCTTACAAGTGAAGATCATCTTCTTGGCAAAATCAAATTCCTTATGAATATTCTTGATGTTCTCCTTAAGCACTTCAATGAAGATCTGAGCAACATCTTCGCCCTCACTCTTTGGTCTGTAGATCACTGGCCCTTGTGAATAAAGCTTATCAATGCAATGAAGATCTGAGCAACATCTTCGCTCTCACTCTTTGGTCTGTAGATCACTGGCCCTTGTGAATAAAGCTTATCATCGAAGCAAACAATGTGATAGCCAAACCCATGTGGTTTGTGCTTCTGGTGTTTATTTCTAAAACTATAATCACTCTATTACTCACAACCACTTATTGGTTTAGTACAAGCCTCAAAGTCAGCATTAACCACAAAGGGTACTCTTATTGGGCGGTTTTGATTCTTGAATTTGATTGCAATATCTTATCTGGCATCTCGATCCTGACTGCATAATTACTTGAGCAATACTCTTTGTGGATTGCAAGCTTTTCTTTGCTTGAGAAGTGGCCCAGACACCTAAGGAATATTGTTTCCCTTTCTTATGCCTTGAGACTTGACTCCATAGTGGCCTGCTCATGTTGTTTATCAGGAAGTAGTGCTTCTTTTCACCTGCTAGCTCCTCTAGCCAGGGTTGCACAGAGGGTCTGGCTACCTAGCACCTGTAAGAAGAAGGTTTATCACATGCTTCCTATTTTCCTTTTTACTGATCCTCAATGGATAAAAATCAAACCTTCCGCCAGACCTCCAAGAGGCTCTTTCATAACCAAGAATGTTTACTACAATGTTTTCATTCTGCTTTTCAAACTTGCATATCTTGTCAAGCTCAACAAGGAAATTGATACCACTCCAGTCAAGCTTCTCGATTGTGCTTTAAGGACTTTTGTGATCCTTTGAGGATCTTGCTCAACCACGTTACACGCTCTTGTTATGCACCACTTAAAACACTGATTATTTGCATTTTTAATGTTCTTAACTGCTCTCTTACTTTGAATGAATTCTGGGAGTTCAATGTAAGAGTTGCTGTTCAACAGTCTGTATTCCACAAGATGGATGTCAAGAGATGTCACTCATTGAAATCTCCAATTGCTTCCTCTTTGATTGAAATTTTGAATTCTTTCTTGAAGTGTCAAATTCTTCAGATTCATTAGATGCTTCAAGATTTACGATTATGTTGCTTTGGAAATGAGGATTCAGAAGTTCAACATTTTCATTGATAATTCTTCTCTAACCATCTCACAATTCAAAATAATCATGACTCTTGAGCTACTCAATTCCCTTTCATTAGCCTTACGACTTCAGGTTTTGCTCTTTGCCCTTTCAACCCAGTCATCCTCTGAGGAAATTACCATGAGAATTAAAACAGTCTGAAAAAATTCCAGACTCAATCAAAGTCATTACATCACACATGGGAGAGCAAAAATGGTTTCACTTTGACATTAATCAAGCAATATATAACCTTGATAATAAGGATATCAGTCGAATGGAGAGAGAGTTGGATTATTACAAGATTGTATTTGAAGAGTACTAGAAAATATTGAGAATGGAGATAAAGAGAAGTGATGAAACTAGGAATTTGAAAGATGAATTAAAGAAACATCAACAAAGGAGGACAGCAAGCAACCAAGAAACTGAACAATAATGGTTTGCGTGAGGAAGTAAGACATTCTGAACACAACTGATTGTGAAGATAAATGAAAAATAGGTGAAATTAACCCTGGATAAATCTTGTAAAATCTTAAATGTTGGATATGACATGCGAGAAAATAATTTTTGAAATCACCTGCCAATGTCTTCACATGGGCTTTTGCAAAAACAAAAGGGTATCCAGTCAACTCGCCGACAGTTCAACTCACCAACGCCAATTCACCTACGCATAAAATCGAGCAGAGACATTGGCAAGTTGGTCTTCAATCCAGTACAACTTATTAGA